GGACAATGGGTGCCTGAGAGCACTGAGGGAGGGGAGCCGATAAGAGGGGTTAGGGGTCAGGGAAGGCTTCCTCGAGGAAATGCCTTTCTAAACCGAACCCTGAAGGACGAGTTAGCCAGCTAGGGGGGCAAAGTGCTCAGGCTGTGCTTCAGGGTGGAGGGCACGCTAGAGGGACGGAAGGTCACCTAGCACAGCTGGCGCTGGGGGTGCTGGGGGCTCAGGCCAGAGGGGTAGGAGGGCCAGCTCCCTTGTTGGAGTGTAACTGTCTGTCTCTAGAGAAGAGACCCCTTGAAGACAATACCGAGCCTCCTTCGGCTCAGGGTCCCCTTCCTGACAGAGCAGGTGCTGAGTGAATGTTGGCAGGTGTGTCGGTGGAGGCTGAGGTGGGGAGGTCGGGTGTGCCGTGACCTGGCCCCCTGGCTAAAGCAGGTAAGGGGCCTGGAGGTTGCTGGCTTCCCCGGCCACACCTGTCCCTGCCTCTGGGTCACGTGTGTGTTGTTGTCCTTCAGCCCTCGACAGCGAGTCTGCAACCAGCAGCATCCGCTTCAGCAAGGCCTGCCTGAAGAACGTCTTCTCGGTCCTGCTCATCTTCATCTACCTGCTGCTCATGGCCGTGGCCGTCTTCCTGGTTTACCAGACCATCACAGACTTCCGAGAGAAACTCAAGCACCCCGTCATGTCTGTGTCGTATAAGGAAGTGGACCTGTACGACGCCCCAGGTAGAGCCTGCTGGGACTGGTGTCAGGGCGCAGGTCTGGGGCATCCATTTGCAAATACAGCCTGAGCTGCCACTGCACTCCTCGCCCCGTGCTGGGTGCGACGGGCAGGGTGGAGGAGTCTGAGCACAGCCTGGGTGTAGGGACACACCCAGAGAGCTGCCGCTGGCCCCCAGTAGAGTGTGTCCTGTGTCAGGGAGAGAGGTAGACAGAGCCTGGAGTGGCCACTGCAGAACTGGGGTGGGCAAGGAGCCGTTTGCACAGAGGCAGGATGTGAGCTGGGCTCTAATAGATGGGAAGAGAGTTTTTCTGGGAGGAGGATCAGCAGAGCAGAGGTGAGTGTGGGGAGGCTGAGGGTTTCTCTGGAGTGGCTGAGACTGTCCTGGCTTTGCTCTCTTTATCTGTGGGCTACTCTGTGTCTGGTTTCCTGGTCTCTGAGCTCTGCTGGGTCTGGTGCATGTGCTGCTCACAGTGTTTCTGCCCCTGAGGTTGGAACAGCTACCATCAGTAGAGCCGTGAATGAGGAGCCTTGGGGGGGCGGGGGGTGAGGGCACACCTGGAGCTCCAGGCAGAGCAGGAGATGAGAGACAACCTGAGATCTGGGAGCCACACATCGGGGCCTCCCACTGACTCTGCAGGTGGGTGCGGGTCCCAGGGATTGGCTCAGGCGCGGAGGCCCCCTCAGCGTGCACAGAGCAGCGTTCTGGTGCAGGCGCAGGCGTGGGGGAGGCTCCCTGAGGAGGCCTGTGTCCTTCATTAGAGGAGGGCTTTCTGAGGGCAGAGGATGTGGCTTCCCCCCTCTGTAGCCTTTTCCTTCTCCCTCCCCTGCAGTCACCAGGGAGTCCTGAACTTAGGCTGATGGTGGGTGTGAGCAAATGAATGTGACATGATTTTAGGGTGTGGTCAGGGCCTGTGCCTCCTAACGTTCACTTTTCCATTTGCGCCCCCAGGGATTGCCCTGTACCCCGGTCAGGCCCAGCTGCTCAGCTGTAAGCACCATTACGAGGTCATCCCGCCTCTGAGGAGCCCGGGCCGGCCGGGAGATGTGAACTGCACCACCCAGAGGATCAACTACACAGACCCTTTCTCCAACCAGACCCTGGTAAGGCTCCGGGCGGGGCAGCGTGCTCTCTCGGCCCCGCACCCACCCGAGGCTCAGTCTTCTTTCTGCCGGGTGGTTGGGGAGGGCCCTCGGCCGGTGAACACGGGGACAAGTGGGTCGTGGCCGTGGCTGGCTCACCTGCACTTGGTCAGAGTGACCCTGGGGGATTCTGTCCTGCAGGAGGGGCCCGGGTGTCGGGGCGGAGGGGGCCCCCTACCTGGCTGCTCGGGGAAACTGCCAGGTGCTTTTGGAAAATGTCCATTCCCAGATTCCAGGCGAGGCCAACTGGTTCATCATTCCGGGCGCGGGGCCTGGGAATTCGTATTCTGAAATAAATAAGCCACTGTAAGCAGGAGCGCTGGTCCGGGAGCCAGGACCGCAGCCGGCCCTGCTGTCCCGCAGCCCGTGGGACGCGGCGTGGGCGGCTGGAGGGCGGCGCCTGCACGGGTGTGAAGGCAGCGAAGGAATTTGTATTTCTCACATCTTCCCTTTTGTGACCCATGTCCATGTTTCAGAAAGGATTGAACCAGGCCGAGCCAGGTTTTCCAGACCCAAGAGGAAGGAAAGGTTTTTAGGCAGAAGAACTCGGACCCAGACTCACAGGGAGGAGCAGGGTGTTGTGTTGTGCCCCTGGGAAGTTACAGGCGTTGGGTGTTTCTGGGGGTCCCGCTGTGACAGAAGTAAGGCCGGATGAGAGAAGCAAGCTTCTGGGTGGCAGGGAGCCGTGAGTGGGTCTTAGATGAGTTTTGTTACTATTTATTCTAGGCTTCCTCCTAAAATCCCACTGAAATGATTCCCACTCCTGCAAAAAATAGAATAAAATAAAATATCCACAGGAGCCCTGTGAGCCAGGAAAGGGTATCACGGGTTGACCAGACAGTTTGAGGAACAAGAAATAGAAACAGCAAGTCCGGTCAGGTTGATGGAGTGAACAGATCGGAGGAAGCCCGTGCCTGGAGCAGATGCGAGAGGCCTGCTGCGGGGATTCCTCAGGCCGAGGCCGCCCAGGAGCAGGCTGCTCCGTGCAGGAGGACAGAGGTGCAGGACAGCGAGGGGAGCCTGTGGGCTGAGCCTCCTGTGTGGCTTCTGCTGAGAGACATCCCCTCCCTGAGTACCAAGCCCCGCCCCCCCAACCCAGCCTGTAGCCCCGCCCAGGTCTCAGGTAGGAGGACCCCGGAGGAGGGAAGAATGGGCCAGTGATGAGGCCCTGGGGTGGGACCTGCGAGAGCCCCTGTCTTCGCCAGCCCCTGGCCTTGTCCACCGGGAGGTCTGCTTGGCGGTGGTCCCCTGTGGCTATCGCTGGAGTGGGCATCAGAAGCATGCCCTCCCCGGGGCCCACAGCTTTGGGCACCCACTTTCTGCTGCAGAGGTGGAGGAGCGGCTGTGGGCTGCCGGGTCTTGGACTCGGTGGTTGGCTTGTCGTTCTTCTGTTCCCGCACCTTCGTTTGTGGTGAGATGTCTTGGGAAATGTGTGGTCTTCTGGCTGTTTGCGTGCCCTCACGTCCACATGGAAGTGACCCAGGTCTCATCTGGTCCTCCTTTGTCCGTCTTCAGATTCTCATTTATTTTTTAGTCTCTGGTGCCCTTGGTTTAATCTAGTTAATGTTGACCAGCTGCTTTGCCCTGGCACAGTTGGGGGCACGGCCTTGTCGGTCTGCAGGACCTGTGTGTGTTTCCTCGTGGCCTGCCAGGTTTCCAGTGCCCGTATGGTAAGCTGATGCCTCCTTTGTAGGTGGTTGTCACCATGCACTCCAGTTCCAGACAACAATTTACGTAACGGTCAGAGCCCAGGCTAAGCTACTGTACAAGAGCAGACGCCCCAAACGCACACAGTGGCTGAGACCAGAGAGAAGTCGGTGTCTTTCTCTGGGGATCCCTGGTGTGCAGGGGGCGGTCACTCTGCCACCCCCTGGGCGTTGTCCTGGTCCTGTGGTCAGCACTGGCTCGCGGCATGAGTGCACACGCCGGCCCCAGAGGTGAGACGTGGAGGGCAAGACGCCGAGGGGCATGAGTCACTGCACATTCCAGGAACTTGGTCACGTGGCCACGTCTGAGGCCGGGAGTGGGGCCAGCAGGCGGCTGTGCTCTGCTGGAGTCGGGGATGGGGAAGCGGTCCTAGGGCTGCAGGAGGAAGTGGATCATGGAAACAGGACAGTCAGCGTCCTCTGCTGCCACTTACCGTGCGGAAAGGCTGAGAGGGGCTAGGCGGGCAGAGAGAGACATCTCAGGATAAGGCAGCAATAACCAGAACTGAAGCAACAACATTAACCTCAGTTAAAAAGGAATTCCAGGTGCAAAGGACGAAAAGAGGGACGTGTAATATGGATAAGGGTTCAACTCCACCACTCTTCCTGAGAAGATTTAACAGTCACCCATCTATCACTGCGTGCAAAGCAGCCTCCCAGTTGTATGTTGTAGGCAAAACCTGTTCGAATAAAAAGTCCCATGACTGCCCTAGCTGGTTTGGCTGAATGGATAGAGCGTCAGCCTGTGGACTGAAAGGTCCCCGGTTCGATTCCAGTCAAGGGCACATGCCTGGGTTTCAGGCTCATTCCCCAGTGGGGGGCATGCAGGAGGCAGCCAATCCATGATTCTCTCTCATTGATGTTTCTCTCTCTCCCTCTTTCTTCCTCTCTGAAATAAAAAAAAAAAAAAAAAGTCCCATGACCCCAGAGCATGTGTAACACTTCTCAGAAACTCGCAGATCAGGCCGACAGAAAGTAAGAGAACGATTGGAAAGCGCAGTGCGTGTGGAGCGAGTGTGTCTCGGTGCCTGACAGTGTCTTAGGTGCTCTTCACGTATCTTAGAGCCTGTATAAAAGTCGATGTTAAGATATTTCCCCCAAAATTACTCTATCAACCCAATATCATCAGTTAAAAGTCCCAGTTGAGTTTTCATGGAACTGAAGCTAGTGTTAAAGTGCACGAGAAGAGCACGTGTACAAAACAGCCAGGTTTGGGGGGTGAGCAGCCTGAGCAGGCGCCCAGCTCAGTCCGAGGTCACAGCGGGGAGAACCGCAGCCATCAAACCTGCATCTCCATTGGTGGGTTTCACACCACAATACAAGACGATCTAAATGCAAAAAAGGTTAAAAAAAAGATACTATACAGAAATATAGGAGAATAGTGATATAATTTTGATTTTCCTTAGCAAACAAAACGTAGAAGCCTTAAAAAAAAAGATTTGCAGATTTCACATCAAATTTAGAGCTTCATAAAGCAAATGACATTATAAGCAGAGTTAACCGGAAAGTGAGCGAATGGAAGACATTTGTCTGTAAAACAGACGGAAGTTCCTATCCTTTCTCAACCGAGAGCTGCAGAGCGCAGCGGAGAGTGCACGCGGCACAGCTGGGCTCCCTGAGGAGGAGTGGGCGGCAGTGCCCTGGGGCCACTGGGCTTTCCAGGCCCACCCCCGAGTGTCTGGCCTGCAGGTCAGGAGCAGCGCGCAGCTCTCCCAGGCTGAGATTCCGGCCTCTGTGTCTCTGCAGAAATCCGCCCTGATCGTGCGGGGGCCGCGGGAAGTGAAGAAGCGGGAGCTGGTCTTCCTCCAGTTCCGCCTGAACCAGAGTAGCGAGGACTTCAGCGCCATCGATTACCTCCTCTTCTCCTCCTTCCAGGAGTTCCTGCACAGGTGGCCTTTCCAGTTCCGCTCTATCTGCTCCAGCCTCGCACAGCCCCGTGGGGGTGGAGTGCAGGGGGGAGGCCGGAGGCTAGCGGGCCAGCGGGCCCCTCAGGACTGCTGAAGCCCAGAGTCCTCTGAGGAGCCCGGGAGGAAGCGGGCATTCTCCCACTGGGGCCTTCAGGGGTCGGCCTGCCTGGAGGTGGGCGACCACTCCCTCTCCATTTGGAAACCCAGAAGCAGAGCTTGGAGGAGGCGGTGGGCAGCGTCCTGGCGATGCCAGCAGGGAGACCAGATGAAGCAGGGGCTGGAGTGCGTGGGCCGAGTTGAACCCTACGTCAGGCCTGATGAGCTTGGACCTTTCTCCTCTGCCCTCAGCCCAGACAGGGTGGGCTTCATGCAGGCCTGTGAGAGCGCCTCTTCCAGCTGGAAGTTCTCCGGGGGCTTCCGGACCTGGGTCAAGATGTCCCTGGTGGAGACCAAGGAGGAAGACGGGCGAGAAGCAGTGGAATTCCGGCAGGAGGTCGGTGGCGCTGGGTGGGTCGAGCTGCTGGTCGTGCAGCCTGAGTGGGGCGGGGAGCTCCCCAGGGAGGGGGCCTCTGTGCAAGGTCTGAGGCTGAGAGCGGACCATGCAGGAGCTCACGCGTTCTGTAGGCAGCACCCGTGCTAAGCCTCCCCCTCTGTTACAGCCAGGCCCAGCACACACACGGGGAGCAGAGAGCCCTGCGGGGTGCAGAGACCAGCACCCGATGCCACCGAGCAAGCCCAGCGCTGAGAGGCTGGCGGCCGCCTAGAGCAGCGGTTCTCAACCTGTGGGTCACGACCCCTTTGGGGGTCGAACGACCCTTTCACAGGGGTCGCCTAAATACATCCTGCATATCAGATATTTACGATTCTTAACAGTAGCAAAATTACAGTTATGAAGTAGCAACGAAGATAATTTTATGGTTGGGGGTCACCACAACATGAGGAACTGTATTAAAGGGTCGTGGCATTAGGAAGGTTGAGAACCACTGGCCTAGAGGGTTGGGTATTTGCAGGGAAGAGAGACTAGATGCAGTGGCTCTTGAGTGTCATGGGCATGATGGTCCATTGGGATGCAGGGGTAAAATACTAGCTTTCTAAAAAAAAAAATCACTTTTTTATAAAATAATTGCTTTTATGCAAGTTATTCTTTTTTAAAAAATGTCTGTTGATTTTAGAGAGCAGAAGGGCGAGAGAGAGAGACATTGATGGGTTCCTCTTTGGGCACCCCAACCTGGGATCGACCTACAACCTAGGTACGCCCTCGGGCTGGGGATCAAATCCGCAACCTTTCGGTGCCCAGGACAATGGTCCAACCAATAGCCACACAGGCCAGAGCTAACTTTTTAATTTATTGATTTGAGAGAGAAAAACATCGATTTGTTGTTCGCTTTGTTTATGTGTTCATTGGTTGCTTCTTGTATGTGCCCTGGCCAGGTTTGAACCCGAAACCTTGGTGAATCGGTAACCAACTGAGCTACCCAGCCAGGCCTTTAAAAAATTTTTTTTATAAAAGAGTTTGAGTCAAACTGGCATCATGTTTGGGGAACAATATCTCAAATCCTCTCTCTTTTTGTATTTTTTAATGTAATTTTTCTATTTTTCAGTGTTTTATAATGCATATAGCAATAGAACAGTAATGCTAATGTTACATCACTTCTAAAGTTACAAATATGTTGGGTGCATGTTCAGAAATTTTTCCTAATGGGACCCGTGTGCCTAAGGCTTTCACCCCACTGGCCTGGAGCTAGGAGATATGGGGGTCTCCAGCCCCCTTCCCCCCGTGAGAGCCAAGAGGAACTTAGAAAAGGGCATGGCAGTGGGGATCGAGGGGAGGGACAGGGGTGTTTGTCAGTGACCACCAAAAGCACGGCCACACCCCTATTGCTACATCCATTATAAAACATTGAAAAATAGAAAAATTAGATTAAAAAATACACAAAGAGGGAGGATTTGAGATGTTGCTCCCAGGCATGATGTCAGTTTGACTCAAACTCTTTAACAAACTCTTTTGGGCTTCCACCATGGCAGTGGCTTTCTGCCTCTTGCCTGAGTCCACACCCACACCCCATGTGTCCGTGGCTGGAGCCTGCAGAGGCTGCGAGGAGACGGGCCTGTGCTCACACCCTCTGCTCCTCCTTGGAGCTGGTCCATTTGGACTGGGCTCCAAGGGACAGCGTTAGGAAGCGCTGGGTTGGAGTAGGACCCACTCTGGTCGACGGGTCTTTCCTTGGCCAGAAGCCACGGCTCCTAGGACTGCGCCAGGTAGAGCTTTGGGAAGGGCATGGAGCCAGGTTTCTTCAAGGCACAGCTTTCTTCCTGCCTTAGGATGTAACGGCTCCCAGGACAGTAGGCCCTTAGATATTCCTAGTTTGTAAGATAACTCAGATCCTGAATTTCTACTCCCCTTTCCTCCAAGAGCGCCAAGCCTTTCCTGTCTGGGCCCAGCAGCTGAGAAAGGAGCTTCCGCGTGTTCACCTCACAGCGAGGTGCCGTCCCATCCACCAGGCTCTCCTGGTGGCCCCAGCCGTGACCTGAACCCACAGGGGCCCAACCCCGCCAGCCTAGACGTTGCAGAACATTTTATGTGCTTTTTATTACAGTCTCCGTTGGAAGCCTTTGGCAGGGCATAGGAACTTGAACACAGTTTCAAATGTTTTATATCAGGTTTTAAAGTTTAAGGTTCTTTCGTGTGTATTGCTTCCTGTGATCTTCTCGGGGCTCAGTGAGGAAGGCAGAGCAGAGGCTCAGTTCAGATGCTGAGCGCAGCCCTTCCGGCTGGGGCTGGGCTCCTGTCTGCTCTCCCTGCCACCACGCAGACCCGTCTGTCATGGGCAGCCGGGTCTCCCCGAGCACAACCACTCACAGTTCACGGAGAACACCCGCCACGTGGATCCAGGCGGTGCTGGTCCCTGTCGACTCCAAGGTTAAAATGCGCAGCTCTAAGGATTGAGTGTTTTGAAGTTTAGGATTCTTATGGCTTTTAATTGTGAGTCTTACACAGTCTTACACTTTGAATATGATTTAATCAGTTATTGTACATCCCAAATCCCCCTCGTTTCCCCAAAGAACTGTGGAAACCACGGGAAGGCCTGGGCTCTGGTGCCAGGGTCAGGGTGTGGTACGTATGAGATGGGCTCTCTCCTCCCAAGATGGTGTGAGGAGAGCCGCGGCCTGAGACCCCCTGGCCATGCCTCCCTCTCCCGTGGCCCCGGCCAGGTGACAGTTTCTCTCCTCTGTTCCTAGACGAGTGTGGTCAACTACATTGACCAAAGGCCGGCCGCCGAAAAAAGTGCCCAGCTGTTTTTTGTGGTCTTTGAATGGAAAGATCCTTTCATCCAGAAAGTGCAAGATGTGAGTATTGTTTAAGATGGAGAGGCCCTTCATCTCCTTTCCTAGCCCAGATCAGTTGTGTTGGTGGCATTCGTGGTCTGTGTCATTTGTGTTTAATTGGTCTTGTCTTCATCACTAGACTGTGGCCCCAGGAAGGTGGGGACTTTGTCTTTTGTTCATCATTTCTTTGGTGTCCAGCACAGTGCCTGGCACAGAGGAGCTGCTCAGTGGTGATATTAATTGAATGACCTGAGCAGAAAGCATTGAGCTACTGTTTCAATTACTGCTGTTTGGAAGCCATTCTTTTTAAATGGTTGTCTGTAGGATGAGAACTTATTCGTGATAAGAGAGAACAGAAAGGTACAAATAAAAAATTAACAGAGTATCAGTTAATGCCAGATTCTCAGACTGAAGGGGCACTAATGAGACAGCTTTGCCAAAGGAGCATTCGTAAGACGCCATCCACCAGAGCCAGTCCCAGGAACACTGATTGGCGTTCAGCTCATCACACAATGTCCTGGCGTGGCCTTGCTCGGGGAAGGCATTTCAGAGCCAGGACTGACACAGGGAAGGTCTCTGTGACACGGGCGTGCTCCACGGCCACCCACCACCACCGTTATCCGTGCATTGGCCAGGCTTGTGCGAGGCTTTGGGAATCAGGACTCCGAGTAGAGGAGTAAATGCCTTCAGCTCTGCATGTAAATCATGTGAGCAGACATTTTTAACCTATATTCAGTGGGCGGTGCTTGTAATGGGCCGGTGCTCAAGGCCTGCCTGGCGCTGTCACTCAGCTTCACAACAGTCCCCAACAGTGGAGGCGATGCAGCCACCCAAGGTTCAGGTGGGCTGAGGTCGCCCTGCTAGACTGAACAGTGCTCTATACCAGGGTGGGGATTCAGAAATCCAAATAGGATGTCGGCCGTGGAGAGTCCAACTTTCCGGGGGAGCCACCTGTAGCTGTGAAGGGACTGATTCCAGACAGTCAGTGCCTCTCAAAGGAGACAGTGGGGTAAATACCTGCTACGTTGGAGGGTTTGGCTGAGTGAACGGAGAAAGGCTCGGAGGAGCTTGGAGGATTGGTAGCTCCGGCAGGAGGAAAGCATACAGGCGGGGAAGGGGGCACAGCCTGGAGGCAGGGGTCCCGAGGGGAGTGTGGAAGGACGGCCACTGGACTGGGCGTGAGGAGAGGTGTGAGTCACTACGAGAGGGGAGGAAAACAAGAGGAGCTGCTCTTCTTATGGGGTTGAGTTTTGGAGAAATTTGTCTTAAAGCAAGGTCACTGGTTGGGGCCCAAAAACATTAAAGCTTACTTGTGCATGGCTATTTTAAAACGTTTTTTCTTTCGGAATCACTGTGTTGTAGGGAGGGCTTAGTGTTTTTCCCCTCACACTGAACTGTGGACATGAAAGTATGACGGAGTGTGTGGAGTTACAATTTATGAACCCAGTTGCTTTTCTCGTCACCCCATTGATACTGGTATCACCTAAGACTCAAAACTGAAGCAAACTAATAAACTTGAGTTGGTTCTGTCTTACAGATAATCACAGCCAATCCTTGGAACACAATTGCTCTTCTCTGTGGGGCCTTCTTGGCATTATTTAAAGCAGCAGAGTTTGCCAAACTGAGTGTGAAGTGGATGATCAAAATTAGGAAGAGATACCTTAAAAAAAGAGGTCAGGCCACGAACCACATAAGCTGAAGTCACCTTGTCCATGGAACTGCCCACGTTAATGGAGGTTCTCACCACTTCCACTTTGATAAACTGAGCTACCAGCCCTCCTGAACTCACCTGGAGAGATGGCCCTGCTGGGAGGAGCCGCTGGGGAACAGATCCAGTGGATAACCTACAAGTTATTTAAGCACTTAAATTATTAAGGAAGTTTTGCCTAGGACACATGAATAGGGTTTGTGGAAGATGGAACTAGGGCTGGTTTCTGAAGGTTTGTCGACTCTGCCTTTCTTTCTGGTTTGGTATATAGCTCAGCTACAACAGGCTGTTAAGGCTCTGTGTTTGCCTTGGGCTTTCCCCCCGAGGTTTTTAAGTGGATGGACAAGGGTGTGCCTATCGAGATGTGTGGGTCACGCTTTGAAACCTGAGCACTTTACACAAGGAAAGACAAACACCCTTATGTCTCTGGCATCTCTGCTGTTCCCATCGTCTGGCCTCTGACAAGTTTTCTCCTTTGTTAAATGTTAAATGAGACCTTTAAAGCTAATACTATAATTAGATTTCCTGTGGACTCACTAGCCATCTCTCTGGTTAGAGTTTTTGTTGATGCAGGTATGAGAGTTTAGAGTGATTAACACGCAAAAGCACTAGTGTGAATGTATAGAGTTAGGTGCCTATTCAATGTATTTTGATGATTTCACTAACAGGTAAATAAAAGTAAGGTTAATACAAAAGGAATCAGTGTGCCAGTATGAATGTTAAATCAGTAGGCACCAGTACACTTTCCTTCTGTGGCCTCCAAATAGAAGGCGGTGTGAGCTTGGACTCCTGAGATGGATGGATCTGGACCCCGAGGTACGGCCTGACTGCGCCCAGGGAAGGGTAGGGTGGGCAGGACAGTTGATGGGAAGAATGATGGCTCAAGCCCCATGAATCAGCTGTTAACTACAAAACCACCCGAGTATTTTTCACATGGTAGCCACTGGCTGATTTAAGGTTATGAAATTGTTTCCAGAGTTTTAAATTATTTACATGCCCTTTGCAGCCAAAGAGAACTTGGTAGCATTTCCTGAATTTCATAATCTGCCTTTAGGTAACTCAAATGTGTGACTGGGTATTTTTTTAAAATCTCATGTCTAACTTAGCAGCAAGAAGCTGGTTTTTGGCTGGATTATTAAAAGTGAACTTGTGTACAGAAATATTCCCTGCTGCTTTTCTATGCCATAGAGCAGCGGTCGCCAACCTTTCGGACCTCACGGACCACCGGTTGGCGACTGCTGCCATGGGGCATGCAAATTCAAACTTTAGCCTAGGTCTCCTCTCTAAAAATCTTGCTGTAAGGCAAATGCAAAGCCAGGCATAAAAGCATACATTAACAGTATTGAAAACCAGATGTGTATTCGTAAAGTATCTCTGAAAATGACACACCAGTTTAATATTAGTTAATATTTATAAAATGGCTAATAAAATTTGCTCCAATGAACAGCCTAAAACTGAATTTTCTATATTGTGGAAAGTTGAGACCTCTGAATTGTGCTTTAGAGTCAGTAGATAACTAGGAAGTGAGCAGTTCTAACTCATCAAAGAAAAGCAGCTAACAACTATTAGCTGCAGCCTGCCGAAGTCCACTCTGGCTGCTCTTCAGTAAAAGACGTGTGCGCCTAAACCGTCCACAAATGGACAGTTAGCCCCAACGTTCACTGTCTGGAAAGGCTTGCCTTTCATTCTTGTTCTGCAGTCGGATCACTCTTCTGTCTGCGCCGCCCCAGCTGTCCGCAGTGCCGGCTGGCCGTGGGTTAGTGTGGAGGATCCGGCAAGAGCACCGTGATCTGGATGTCTCAGGTAAGGCGGCTGCTTGAGAACACCATGAAATATGAGCCACAGACTGAGAAGGAAGCATTCTCGGGAGCCACAGAGCGACGGGGGTTGCTTTTACAAGGACCTGGGAACAGTGTGCAGAACCTGTGCTAGAGCTTTCCGTGGGTATGAAAGGGTGGAATCAGACACCAGTCGTTGAAAACTTTGAGAACGCCTGATCTCTGATTCTGCTACAATCTCCCTGCCCCTCACAAAAACTGTTACTACAGATTTTCAGATTTATCCTCCTGGGTCTATTTTAATTGAAACTAACATTTAAGGTAAGTAAAATCCATCCTCTGAACATAAAAGGACATGAAGGATATCCTAGAACTTAGGGTTTTATGCAAATATTCTGTAAAACAGATATATGTTGGTAAATGGCTGGAACACTCAATCTGGCACAATCTTCCTATTTTTTAGACTATATCCTGCAACTTGCCTTAAACTTTCATTCATATATATATATATATATATATATATATATATATACACACATACATACACACACACACACACACACACACACACATGTATGAATGATGTATGTATACATATGAAGGGGGGCAGCTTCTTCTGAATGCCTAAACTTAGAGTTAAAAAATGCAGTGATGAGATAAGGCAAAATACAAACATAGACTTTATTAAATGCTGCTCAATCCCCCAATGAAGATCTTTCATTACAAAACAGTTTTCCACACAACTGCAAGTTAAGAGATTGGAATGGTACTCTGATAACAAAATTTATGAGAAATACTTGACCAAGTAAAAACATACAAGACCCCTATAGTCAACCTTCTTAGAACGCTACAGAAGCCAACTGCAGTTCCTTTAAGTAAAGCCAGGCAGTGGCAAGGAGCACTTGGTGTCACCACACTGTGGGACACGGAGCCCCCATCAGGAGGGACTGGAGGAGGGCAGGTGCTGAGGGCTGGAAGGGCCCTGCCTTCAGCCGTGGGGAAGGGGAGGAAGAGGAATGAACTGGGAGGCAGGCTGCGGGTTCACCTGCGCTGCCCCCACTAATCTGTGCTCATCATTGGGGAGTTGCAGATAAGGGGATACTCATGAGGAGCAATCTGAAGAATTTGTTTACTTTCCTAGCTTTTATTTATAAATTGTGCTTTAAAAAGCCTGGAGATTTAAGTTTTTTGCTCAAATTCCAGAGTACAGTAATATTACTAATGAAGGGAGGCTTTTGGCAGGTAATTCCTCCCATCATATTTCTGAGAGGGACAAAGGGAAGGTAAGGATTATACCTTAGTTTTATTTAGGAAATACTTTTTTCCTAGGATGTAACTAAGGTCTGCAGCAATGTGAAAAGCACATTATAAAAGGGAAAAATATACAGAGCAGACTACTATATCTATGTGCAACACAATCAAAATAGAATTCAAGTCATAATTCTTACCACTCCCATAATTATCTCACTCATATTATAGATGATAAAGTTCATTTCTGTGAAACTTCAGATGTGACACAATAAATCAATGATTAGACAAATGTTACAATATACTGTGGCCATGATATAGCACAGGGCTATGTTTAGTCCATATATTTTTTCATTTACAGTTGCCAGAAAAAAATTGACCTTTTAATTATACTGTTGAGGTTTCATGATTTTTACATTTTTTAAAAAAGTGTACAAAACTGTGCCTATCCCACAGGGGTGGCATGTTTCTCTTTATTCATTACTTGTATTGCTGAGAATACTGTGCATGTTGTAAGCACTGTTCTGGTTTTCTAGAGCTTTCTTTAGTTTTAGCTCCTCTAATTTTTTCCATAATTCTTCACGTTCCAATTCCTTCTTTTTCTCTCTGTAGATAAAGCAAAATTTTATTTCAGAACCTGAAGAACACAGTTTGGCAATTTGCTAGAAAACATAGTTCATCCACATTGCACTTCAATCCCTCTACTAAGGGGTTTGAGGGCTGTCACCTGGAGCACCTCATTACTCCTTGTCACTCTCCTACATCTGCTTCTCCTGTGCCAAACAAAAGTTACTACCTGCTTTGCCTCTTCTACATATTATCTCTACCACCACCGTGCCCACTATATCATTGGTGCTTTACAGTTTAAAAAATACTTTAAATTGAAAAAAAAATTTTAATTATCAATTACAGTTGACATACAAAAGTATATTAGTTTTAGGTGTACAACATAGTGACTGGACATTTACATAACTTATGAAGTGATCACCCTGGTAAGTCTAGTACCCATCTGACAACATACATATTTATTATATTATTGACTATATTCCCTATGCTGTACTTTACATCCCTGTGACTGTTTTTGTAACTGGCAATTCGTACTTAATCCCTTTACCTTTTTTACCCATTCCCCCAACCACCCTCACATCTGGCAGCCATCAGTTTGCTCTCTGCATTTTATGAAACTATTTGTTCATTTATTTTGTTTTTTTAGATTCCATATATTTAGGAAAACCAGATGTATCTGTCTTTATCTAACACAATTCACTTAGCATACCCTCTAGGTCCATCCAGGTTGCTGCAAATGGTAAGATTTCATTCTTTTTTGTGGCTGAGTAATATTCCATTGTATAAAACATAATCTTTTTCCATTTGTCTTATTAATGAATGCTTAGGTTGTTTCCATAACTTCGCTATTTTAAATGTTTCAATGAACATGGGGGAGCATACATCTTTTCGAAATAGCATTTTGGATTTCTCTGGATATGTGAAAGTAGAATTGATGGGTAATATATTTATTTTTAATTGAGAAATCTCCATACTTTTTCCATAGTGGCCGCACCAATTTACAGAGCACAGGGTTCTTCTTGGGTTCTTCCTCCCCTCCAGTGGGGACTCTAGACTCAGGCACATGAAGCCATGTCACCAGCCACCACGAATCATCCATGTTTGTGTAGAATCTCTGTTTTCAAGGGGATTTCTCAACATCACATCCTCTCCAATGCTTGGTTGTCAATTTATTGATGATAACCCTTCTGATAGGTGTGAGGTGATATCTCCTTGTGGTTTTAATTTGCATTTCCCTGATGTTGAGCATCTTTTCCTTTGTCTGTTGGCCATCTGTATGTGTTCTTGGGAAAATTTCTATTCAAGTCCTCCATCCTTTGTGTGTGTGTGTGTTAAATTGTATGAATTCCTGATGTAGTTTAGATTTTAACCCCTTGGCAACAAGTATCTTCTATTCAGTAAGTGTTTTTTTTTTTTTAATTTTGATGTACGTACTTTCTTGTTTCTCTTGTTAGAGGAAATATCAAAAAAAAAAATTACTAAGACAATGTCAAAAGGCTTATTTCCTATGTTTTCTTCTAGGACAGCGGTTCTCAACCTGTGGGTCGCGACCCCTTTGGGGGTCGAACGACCCTTTCACAGGAGTCGCCTAAGACCATCGGAAAACACATACATAATTACATATTGTTTTTGTGATTAATCACTATGCTTTAATTATGTTCAATTTGTAACAATGAAAATACATCCTGCATATCAGATATTTACATTACGACTCATAACAGTAGCAAAATTACAGTTATGAAGTAGCAATGGAAATAATTTTATGGTTGGGGGTCACCACAACATGAACTGTATTAAAGGGTTGTGGCATTAGGAAGGTTGAGAACCACTGTTCTAGGAGTTTTATGGTTTTGGGTCTTAAAATCCATTTTGAGTTTATTCTTCTATATGGTGTAAGAAAGTGACAGAGTTTTATTCTTTTGTGTCTGTCCAATTTTTCCAGTATCATTTTTTAAAGAATGTGGCATTACTCCATTGCATATTCTTGCTTCTTTTATTATAGATTAATTGGCCATATAGGTGTGGTTTATTTCTGGGCTCTTTAACCTGTTCCATTGATCTATGTTTTCATGCCAGTACCATCCTGTTTTAATTACTATAGTTTTG